TTGAAACTTGATCCATTACAATAGCTCAGCTTCCTGTCTTGTGTGTATTTCTGGATGTTTGATAGGGTGTCAGCACTCCAAAATGTTGTCCTCCAGTGCTAGGGTATGTTCTGGCCCCCTCCATCTCTGCTAAACTGTCTGCATGTTTACAGGTAGCACCTAGAATAGAGGGTCAGGGTTATATCTACCTGGGCCCTGTCCCTGTAGGGGCACGAACTGAGAATGAAGAGTCAAAGTGGACACAGAAGGGTGTGGTCCTACCAGAGTTTGGATGGTGCCATGGGACTGAGCATTATCAGGGCTTGTGCAAGCTGTGTGTGTCGGTGGCTTTGGCTAGTAAAAATATTATAACATCTCAGTTTTAAACTCACTGCTGGGCTGGGACCATTATAGGGACTCTTCTGCTAGGATGGGGTATGCAAATGGCTATGGTTGGCATTTGAAAGGGAGCAGATCCTTTGCTGATGTAATTGGTCCTAGCTTCACTGAAGTCAACAGGACTAGAACAGTTTACACTGGCTGAGGATCTGACTCAAAAAAGAGTGTAGGGCTGTGTCACCTCCTCCCCACCCCTAGACCTAAGGGAGCTGGTGTGAAATGCTACCATTCTGGTCCATTCATGGGTTCTGTCCTTCTTATGATGGTGTCACTGATGATCCTTGGTATAGGGCTCTGGAGGGTCAGGCCCAGCCTGATGTTCTGAGAGCTGTATTGACCTTCTGGCAAAGTGCTGGAGCTGGCAAAACTTGCCATGTTGTGTAGAAAGCATAACAACGGCATGTAAAAGAACCCCTCTGAAAAGCTTTAAGAAGTCAGAGCTGCTATACAACAGCCTGGGAGCTTGTTAGCTCCCCTGCTACATCTGTCTTGAGATAAACAAGAGCTCCATCCCTCCCATTTACTCTTCACTTGATCTGCTCAAGATAAACAAGAGTCCCCATCCATGGCATTTTACCTTCCCCTACTTCAGCCTGTCCCACTTTCCAGGACAGAACCACAGACAGACAGACAGACAAACAAACAGACAGAGAGAGAGCGGGATGCACCTTTTTTTTAGCATGGCTTTTTGCTTTTAAAGGTTGCTGCTGACAAATCTATCTATTTGGGGCAAATTGTCAGTGAGAAACTTCCGCTCGAACTCTTTGGGACAAAACTGGCTCTTTGAAAGGGTAAATCCCGTTGCATGAAGGTCTGAACAATGGCCAAATGTGTTGCTGCTGCTGCCGCCACTGCTGCTGCTGCTGCTGAGGCTGGGGCTGTGACAAAGAGCGGATTAATTGGTGCCGCGGCTGACTGGTTCGAGATGGCTCCACTCAGCCTGCGCTGCGGGGAGCCCCATTGACTGGGCCCCGAGTCCCACTTTTCACAAACTCCAAACAAAAGTCAATTTCTTTTTTATAAGGCGGGGAAAGAAAAAAAAAATCAGTTCATGTTTGAGCTCGGGAAGTTGACTTGTTGGATTATCGGGTGTTATGTTCTCCCTGTCTCTCTCTCTAGCTTTAAAAGTTGCTTCTCCCCAGAAGACAAGAGTGAGAAAAAAATGGAAGTAAAAGCAAATCATCCATGCTGGGGGCTGTGTGCGTGAGTGTATATGTACCAGGGAGTAAACTCCAGCAAACAATCTCGGTTCTAGTAGAGTGAGGATGTAAGTGTTGGGGATTTGTGCTCGTGCTCTTGTGTAACAACGATAAAATTCTCCATATGGTATAAGACCATTCTTGTCATTTTGTGCAATGCTTTTGATTCTTGGCTGAAAGGCACCATATGAGTACAAGGTTGCATAAGGGGGATCATACATATGAATTACATTCATGCAGGACATCATGGCCTACTCCTGCTTTACCCTTGTTTATAGTCATTATGTAGACTTTCTCTTATGAGAATGGACTGTGGAAGTTTATTATTTTATATCTGACTTGTGCAGCCTCTCCTGCATTTCTTGCATTCCTCCAAGCAGAATAAGGCCCATAAACAGTATATTTGATGCATTCAGGCAAGCTTTGCAATTTATATAGGAGCAATCAGACAGAGAGAGAGAAAGAGGAAATTTCCTTTTTAAACATCCGCTTGTATACGGATGCTAATAGTCATTTCTGCAGTCCTACTATAATTAAGGTAATATTGGAATATTTTTGGGGTAGTTGATCATATCAATGGCTATGATGATCTCATGGTATTGGTATAACATTTCATCATGTTTAGTCCTTCTGTCAAAAGGCTTGTTCCTTTTAACATTACATGTAAAGAAAAGAGCTGTTCTCATATGGCTGCTAGCTTTCCCTTCCATAGGGCAGTGTGACAGAACCAGAAATAGAACCTTTTCTTGTCTTTATTCAGTGTAGCTGTTTGATTTTGCTCTCATTGGTTTTCCACCTATTTGGGTGAATTGCTTTGATAATGCTTATTACATCTTAAAATTAGAATTATTCCACTTAAGAAAATTTTATATTTAAGATATTATTTTCAATCTAAATATTAACTTTTAGGAGAAATAACTTGTACTGATGCCTTTAGCTTCGTAACGGATTCTGTATTATTTTCTATGGCTTTGTGATGGATTCTATAGTAGGCAAACCAAGCTTGAAATTGAGGCTTAAGAGCATGAAGTGAAGTGGTGTCTATTTCCCAGTTTGATTTTAAATGGTTTTCATGTATTAGGTCTCTGTGGCTGCGTCTACATGAGTCACTTACTGCACAGTAACTCGTTACTTACTGCACAGTAGCTTGCAGCCTGTATGTACTAGGCCTGAGGTTATGATTTGCCTTCCACAAAATTGATTATTGATTTTTAATGCTTTCAGTGGAACTTACACATTCTAAAAGTAGAGACTACTAGAATTGAATGGTAGCAACATCTATTTACATTGCTCATGTAGCTCTGGAAGGATTTTTCCATTTGAAAAGAGCCTTCTAGTGAGAGAAGGTAACTAGCTTCATCACTGAATTGCAGAGTTGAAAAAAAAATCCCCCTTGAATCCTTGGCTACAACCCCTGGTATGCAAAAGGATCTGCTTCTACTTTATGTGAACTATCCTGAAAATCTATCTACCCTGGCTTTGAACACATTGTATAAAAATGGTTCCACTACTCCCATTGCCTGATCCTCTTATTTTTGTTTCCCCCTTGTATATCTAGCCTGAACTATTCTATTCTTAGTTTTCATTCTGAATAAACACAATCCTTACAATAGGTGAGTCTAAGGAAAGGTCATATTTTGTTTACAATGATTCCCTGTTTTCATCCTGTTCAGGAATCCCTATGTGGAGAGCATGGAGATTTAAAAGGCAAAATCTTCCACAAATTGAAGAGGGATTCAAGGTGTGAGCTATGGCTTGATGGCAGACTGAGGTCCTTATGCAAACAGGAGATCATTAGCCTGAATCCTCCTCATGGCTATGTTTTGCTCTCAGAATCTTCATGGTTCCTTACGTGATAAAAGAACACGATGACCATTCTTGCTTCATTCTATCCCATTATGATCATGATTCTGTGTATTCAGCTAAAACCAAAAAATGGAAATTTGTGGGAGAGTGACCAAGCTGTATGAGGCTTCAAGGACAGGAATATGAGTTGTATCAAAGGTGGTGGAAACATTTTTTTAAAAGGATGAAGAAGAGGCAGTTGGACTTGACTGAAAGGAGGTCGTTAGTGATTTTAGTGAGAGCAATTCCTTCAGAGTGAAGTGGCTAAAAAAACAGATTGAAGAGTGCCAGAGAGAAAGAGAATAGGTGAGTTCAAGAGTATGGGAGCAAAGTACTCACTTGAAAAGATGAGAGGTGAAGAAGCGGAAAAAATGTAATATAGGTAGAGAGAAGGGGAAAAAAATGGGAGAGGCATGCATTTTTAGTGGGGATACAGGGGCTTATTTGAAAACAAGGCAAGAGATCATTTAGGGATCAAGGAAAGAGAGAGATAAAAGTATCAAGTAAATGAAAAGACTGGGTGTAGGTGAAATCTAAGGGGCAGGTTGTGGGACTAGATGAAGAAAAGGGGAAAGATCTCAGATCCAGAAAAGATGGAAAGGACAAACAGATGAAAGCAAGGAAGAGGACTTTTTTCCCCAGGGCCATTATGCACACTATAAGCAAGAGATGAGGGAGCAGAGAAGAGTAGGAGTGTTGGGGGAATTAAAAGGCAATGGGTGTCAGATACTGGGGAGAGGAGAGTTGTAGGCACATGCTGCGAAATCAATGGATTGGCAGGAGGGCAGAGATACTTAAAGGCTGGAAGTACTAAAAGGCATGAAAGGAACAGGCGATGATGGAAGTGTGGAAATGGTGGTGAGAGGGACTGAAAGCAACACTGTTTCTTTCTCTTTCTCCAAGTCTCCCTCTCACCAACATCTCTACACTTTGTCCTGTCATAGAATGGTCCTGGCAGTAGAGGTTATCAGGAGACTTTTGGGGGGCTCTACTGCTGAATGAGGAGGAGAGGTGACAGGTCTTGCATTTGAATAGGTCAGTGTTTCCCAAACTTTTGATACATAGGGTCCCCATTTTTTCTGGATTAAAATTGGTGGCACAATTCACTCTTACACCTGAAAAGTGTGTGTGTGTGTGTGTGTGTAATCTTCAAATCAAAGGAAATCATACCATCTTTCTTCAAGCAAAGGATTAGTCTCTATACCAGCAATTCTTAACCTTCTTAGCCTCAAGGCACTACTGCATAATTTTTCTGAATTTTATAGGACCACTGCTGAAAATCACTGAGATAGATCTAAATTCCAAAAAGATACAGAGGGGGGCCTTGAGAAAAAATGTTGAGAAGCACTGATCTAGCTGGTGCCACTTAGGGGTGGTTGGGGCAGACCTCACACTGTTGTGCCTTGCTCTTTCTGCTGTCTACCTCCTGCCCCTTCCCACTCCCTGGTCTGTACCTTAGGGGTCAAAGGCAGTCCCTGCTGCTGAGGTTGCTCCTCCAGGGTCCCACATGTTGGTAACCATTGCCATGGCCCCTTGTACCTGTGCGGGCCAGGAGCGGTCCAAGGCTTTCGGGGGCACGCGGTGGGCTGTGGCCGGGAGCCCGCAACGGTAGGGCGGGTACTTTTGCACGACGGACTAGAATTAGGCATGAACTCGTAGCGGTTAATTAAAGATTGTTTTACTTACACCGTAGGTGGTTGCGGTGCAGGCAGGAAAAAACTTTCTTGAGTTGCAGTTACAGACAAACACAAGTGGAGTTTGCTAGGCTCCACCGAAAACACACACACGGAGTTTGCTAGGCTCCGCAAAAACAAACACGACAGAGCTCTGGATACCCTTGACGAGCATGCAAAACCGTAGATATGTCTTAAGAATTTAACAAACGAGACGGGAAGAGGTTGGTGGTTGATCAGGCCGCCGAAATCCTCTGAGACACACACAAAGTTTCTATTAGTCTGCCGCGTGCTCAGAGTCCCCACGAGATGGTTGTGGAGTCCTCTACAACTTGGGCAGAAACTGCTCAAACTTCTTATACGACTAGCAAGCCAATCACTAGCTGCCACGTGGGAATAATTTAGAAACAGCCAATAGTGGGAAACAAATTTACATACGGGTGGCGGGAACTCCTTTGCTCCGGGGTTTTCTCTCTGCAGCTGAGAATTGCACTGTGCAAAGAAAGCTTCATGTGGCAGGAAATAATTCTGCAGCGCCGAAGCACACGCACAATCATTGGGTCATGACAGTACCAATGCCAGGAGCATGGGAAGAGTGGAGGGGATGAACTGCATAGTCTGCATCCACCTGTTCATGCGTTCCTGAGAGTTGGGGAGAAGGCAGCAGAGGGGCTGCCTGGGGGCAAGGAAGGGTAGGGGGAGGTAGTAGTAGCAGCTCCAGTCCTCAGAGGAGCAGCCACAGGCACCACTGGAGTAGCTAGGGCAGGTGCAGCATAGCGGACAGGGGAAGAGAGCATTTACCCCCTTACACAGGGGAACCTCAGGGCACACTTCCATTCCTCTTGCAGCATGTTAGTGTGCTGCTGCACATCCTTTGGAAATCACTGGAATAGATTGTCATGTGCTGGTTGAAATCCATGGTATTTAAAATAGGACTATAAGTAAAAGGAGACAAAGAAGTCAGGAAGACAAGAGGAGGAGCAGGAAGAGGGTACCAGGAAGACTATTATTGGAAGCAACTTTGAATAGAAGAAAAAAGACTTGCACCTTAGGTATGAATTGCAGGTAGGATTACAGAGAGATGAAGGGGAACTAAAATGGGATGGGACCTCTTTCAAAACAGGAAGTTTTGAAACAAGAATACTTGCAGGCACCTAGTCTCAGGTAAGGGTCTGTCTTAGTTGAACAGCGGGCGTGTCTACACGAGATGTTTTACTTGAGATTAAAGCTAATTACTACACAGTAAGTGTCACTGTTTACAAATGCAGATGCTTACTTCACAGTAATTTGTTCTAATTGCCAGTACATTTGCTACCTGTAAATACAAGTAGCAAATTTACTCCCAATTACTTACTGCTCAGTAGCTCATGTGTAGAAGGCCAACTGGGAGCAAATGTGCTCCCGGTCAGCCGGGCAGCAGGTGGAGGGAAATTGCTCTTTGCCCCCAGGAGCTGCCTGCTGCTGGGCAGGCTCTGCCACTGAAGCTCAGGTGGGGACGATGTGCCCCTGCCTTGGCAGCAGGGAGCTCCCCACCCCCACTTTGTGATCATGATCAGGGAGCAGGGGCTCAGAGATTCTTATCTCCCAGCCCTAGCTCTGTGGTTGTGGGGTCTTGGCTGGGAGACTCTTATCTCCCAGCCCTAGCTCTGTGGTCTTGGGGCCTGGGCTAGGAGATTCTGATAAGAATTTCCAACCCAGGCCCCGTGACTGTGGAGCTAGGGCTGGAA